TTTTTTTTTTTTTTTGCTGAATTTGCCTTTGCAGCTCTTCATCAATGCCACTTTGAAGACGAATTCGGTGCTCAGTTGCTTTCCAAGCAGCAAATGACTCACGATGACTGTCACTATATTCATGGGCATTTAACGTTTCAATTTTTTCCACTTAGAGAATCCACCCTGTGGATGTAGATGAAAAAAAAGACAACAAAGCAGTATGCTGCTTTATGTAGAGGTGACTACACCAACCAGGAACGACTGAGCTCTTGTCCATTCAGAGGGCGTCGTTTGAACCAAAATGCAGTCATAGAACACACATCTTTGGCATCAAATGGACCTCCTTTATGTTGAAATTAATGTGCTCCAACTTTAACAATCTCTGTGCGATGTGCATGTGTTACAGCTGCTGAGCCTGTGGTATCAAACTTCATAAATCCAATATCCCTGTATGTTAAAATATTTATTAGATCATCCTCTTTTAGCTCAGCAACACTATTCTGCGGATTTGTTTCTGACAAAGTAGAATCCTCTTGTTTATTATTATTGCAGCTTTCAGCAAGACAGAGAACAGTTTCTTCATTGTTTTATTTTTCATATGAAATAGCACGTTCACAATCTTGTACTTTGACCTCTTTGCTGCCATCAAAAGGAATAGATGCTGGCTTACTGGTGTCATTACTTCCTGCGAGGAAAGCTCTCATCAATTTGCTTGACTCCTCCATCGAAGCTGCAAATTGTGCACGTCTTTTGCGTCCCTGTGCCCCATTTTCTTTTTTCGACATAATGGGCTAAAAGAATAAATTAATAAATACTGACTACACTATTTATTTGCAACATGCAAATTGGCAGATGAAAGGAAGCATTCTGCTTTCCTAAGTTCATAACCACAAATGATATTTAAAGTATATAATTATAGTTGCAACTCAGGACTAGTTAGGCACATCTGGACCTGGTTTCACTTTAACTGCTATTATTTAGACCACCCATACTCATGTTAATTAATGTGACACAACAGTAAGAAAACCAATGCAGATGAGTGTATATGCTGGTAAATCATGCTTATGAGCACCATATAAATTACTGGCAGTTGCTAAATCACATTTAAAAACTCGATAGGTTTAACTACACAAACACTACAGGAGACAAGTCTGAAATTGCTCGATTGAAAATTACACACATACACACACACTGTGGAGAAGGGTGTAATCATAACATAATATAAGCCTAGAGGCTCAAAGGCTATATTTAATATTAAAGGATTTGATAGAAAAAGAAAACGTAAATATAGGCTAACTAATTAGTGGTG